CACAAGTGCTCAGAAGCAGGACGGGGACAGGTGAGGCCCCAGCCCGACCCCCGCCCGCCCTGGGTTCCCCTCTTCTCTGCTCCCGCTCTCTCGGCCTCGCCGCCTTCTGTCTGCCTGTGCCGTTTCTGATCCTCCTTGCCCGTCTCTCTCTGCGTCTCTAGTCCCTTTTTGGTCTCCGTCTTTCTCTGTCCCGTGTCTCTGCCTCTCCGTCGGTTTCTGTCTTGTATGTCTCTGATTCTGGTGCTCCGGACGAGATCTCCCCCCGCTCTCCCTTCTCCCTCCTGGAGACGCAGGGTGGGCAGTGGGGGCCAGCGGCTGAGCGAAGCATTTGCAGCATCTGGGGTCCTGCAGCCGGCAGGCCAGGGCCTGACCCCGCTCCACCCCGAAGTCTCTGGAGCCTGGGAGAGGGCTACCGGGCGCGGGGTTTAGGTTGGGGACGTGTCAGAGATCCGGCTCCTACCCGCGATTTGAGGGTGGGAACTCGGCTGGACGTTTCCAGCTCTCCCCCGCTTGGCTGGGTTCTACTCGCTCCTCGCCAAAGCGGTCCCCAGGTTCTCGGAGTCCCTACGTCTAGGCTCCGGGTGACACTGACGCTTCCGCCCAGCGCAGCTCTCGGGCAACTGCCCGCTCCCCGCCCCCGCTGCCCGAGCAACGGTCGGGGTCGGGTGGGGAACCTCCGGGGCCGCGGCGCCACCCACCGGAGGGCCCGCCCACCTGCACGCTTCCTCCGCCCGCCCCGAAGGATCCCGCAGGGACGGGGCCGGCCTGGGAGGAGCGCTGCCTCGGGGGCCGCCGGAACCGGTCGGTGCCGCTGCGAGGCTCCGGGCTTGGAGTGCGAGGGTGGAGCGCGGAGGTACTAACTCCGCCCGGGGACCCTCCAGGCCCGACGGCCCCGGCGCGATCAGACCCTCCCCGCCCTCACGATGCCGAACTCTCGGTCCTGGAGGCCGCTGCTGCTGGTGCTCTCGCTGCGGGGGCTGCTGCCCCAGAGCGCGGAGGTGAGGACCGGAGTAGCCACCGGCGTGGGAGACTTGGAGGGAGGTCTGGGGACGGTTTTAAGTCTTCCCCCAATGCAAGGAGCGTTTTAAGACTGCCCCGTTTGCCCATATTCAGGTGTGCTGGATGTTTCCAGTCCCCTTTCCCTCCATGAATCCTCCTGATGAGGTCCAGCCGCCCCTTACTCGATTTTCTTGAAGATTGTTTTAGTCCCCCAGAGCAATTCCCTTGGTGGCTTCCAGGCACCCCAAAACTTCAAAGAGGTTTCTAAGCCCCTTATCTCCCGAGCAAAACGGGACAGGACCCCCCAGTTCTCTCCACGCTGGCCCACAGCCACTGAGCTGCTTGGGAGCGGGGTCGGTCTGGGGGTCGGGGGTCCTCTCGTCTTTCTTTGCACAGGCAGGATCTGAGGGGCAGACGGCGAGAGGGCTGTACCAGCGCTGGGAACGGTACCGCAAGGAGTGCCAGGAGACCCTGGAGGCCGCGGAGCCCCCCTTAGGTGTGACCTGCAAGGAGAAGCGGCGGCCAGGAAGAGTGGGCTTGGGGCCGGCCTAAGACCGACGGAGGGGCGTGGGACAGGGCCTGCAGGGGAAAATTTGGGGTTGGGGAGGTGGGTTGGCGAGGTCTGGGTGGGGCTTGGTTTCTCTGCGGAGGAGGCGGGTGGTAAATCGGCGTAGGGAGGAGTCGGGGTGAGTCCCCTATTAAGGGGGAGGCCTGGGAAGAAGCTTGACATGGGAAGAGTCTTGGGCGGGACTGAAGTGGAACCTGGGGAGGTCCCCGAGGTGGGAAGAATCGGGGTGGGGGGGGAAGGGAGGAGCCTGGGACTCACTCGGTGGGAGGAGCCTAGAGTGAGGCTCGGAGGATGGGTGGGGCCTTGAGGGCTGGTGGGAGGAGCTCGTGGCCCAACCGGGGCGGGACTTGCTCTGGTTGGGCGGGGCTCGAGTCGTGGACCGCACAGGAGCTCGCTTGGCACCCGCCTTATGTCCACCCCCAGGCCTCGCCTGTAACGGGTCCTTCGATATGTACGTCTGCTGGGACTACGCTGCACCCAACGCCACTGCCCGTGCGTCCTGCCCCTGGTACCTGCCCTGGCACCACTACGGTAAGGTGCTCCCTAGACCCAGGGCCCTCCCCAGATACAAAGGGCTCCTAAATTTTGTCCCCGGACACGGCTCCTCCAAAGCTCACCTAGGCTCCTCTCCGGCTCTTCTCTGTTAGGCTGAGTGTCCCCTTCTGTCTGGGCAACCCCGGCTTTCTCATTAATGCCCTTTCTCTGTCTCCATATCTCTCTGCGGACCACGGAGTCATTTTCTCCTCCTTTCCTGAGTCTGTTCCTTCCTGGACATCGTGGTTGTCCCAGCCTGAGCAGCTACAGAGCTGCAGTCAGTTTATTTAACTTCTTTGTGTCTCAATTTCCCATCTGCAAAATAAGGGTAGTGACACTATGTTTCTTAGGCTCGGATGAATATTAAATGAACACATGTGAAGTGCTGTAAAGGGCTTATCGGCACCCCTGTAGCTGTAGCTGTCTCTGCTTTTGTCTCAGCTTGTCTTTTGTCTCCATCTTCTCTGTGCCTCTAACGCCCCCTGGTTCCCTCACAGTGGCTGCAGGCTTCGTCCTCCGCCAGTGTGGCAGTGACGGCCAGTGGGGACCTTGGAGAGACCACACGCAGTGCGAGAACCCAGAGAAAAATGGGGACTTTCAGGTAAGAAGAGGTAAGGGGGCCAGCAGGTGGTGTAGTAGTTAAGGCACTGGACTCCCATAGGGCTGACCGTGGTTGGAGTCCCGGACTGAGCCGCTTGAAACTCACACCAGCACACGTGCGTGAGTGCCCAAAATCCCGAGAGGAGAATGGAGGAGAAAGGATTGGCATGACCATCCCCCTTGACGGGTGATTTCTCACTTTCTCTCTGTCTCCTCTCCAGTGAGCACACACACCCTATAGCAAAAATCTCTTTTAAAAAAATTAAAAAGAGGTTAGGGATTCTGGTTAGGATGTCTGGGGGGAGATGAAAGGCAGCAACCTCAGGCTGCACCTGAAACCCATTTTACTGTTCAGGACTCTGATTCACAAGTGATAGAAACCCGACTCAGATTGCTTAACAGAGAAAGAAAGAAATACATTGGCTTCTGTGATTGAGAAGTATAAAACTACAGCTTCAGGCACAGTGAGATCTAGGTGCTCAAAAACGATGTGGTCAGGAAACTCTGTCTCTCACCACAACTGGCTGCTGGTTTTTTGTTTTGTTTTGTTTTGTTTTTGTTTTTTTAATTATTTATTTGGGGCCAAGCGATGGCATAGCAGTTATATTGTTGGACTCCCAAATAGCCAACTGCGGTTTGAGTCCTGGATACAGTGGCTTGAAACTCACATTGGGAGGCCGGCAGGTGGTGTGGTTGTTAAGGTCACTGGACTCCCACATGGCCGTCCACGGTTCAAGTCCGGACCTAGTGGCTTGCTTTATCACTTTCTCTCTTTCTCTTTCTCTCCCTCCTTCCCTGTCTGGTCAAATTAAAATAAATCAATAAAGTTAAATAAAAGAGTTCTTTTAAAAAAAAAAAACTCACCAGCTGCATACATGTATATGCATGCCCAAGATCCTAAGAGGAGAATGGAGAAGGGATTGCTGCATGTCCATCCTCCCTTGGGGGTGATTTCTCACTTTCCCTTTCACTGTCTCTGTCTCTTTCTGTTTGGCAAGCACATGAGCCCTAAGGCAAAAGCCTCTACAAAAAAAAAAAGTAGTTAATTTTATTTAGTATTATTATTATTTTAATTATTTACCTAATTTTATTTATTTATTTATTTATTTTATTCATTCATTTATTTTTAAA